GAGTCCGGGGAGGAGGTGAAGCGAAAGGGAAGCGAATTGATGGGTAGGGATGTCCACATCCCTCATGCTTGGTGTTGATGAGTTACTGCTCATGTTTGGCGCCACCCGGGCTGGCGCAGATCAACTTGATGGGCCACGGGCTGGGCCCATTAGCCTTGAACATTGGGGTCAAAGCTTGGATGAGATCATTGGAAGTGGATTTATGAGTGGACATGCTGCCTGCTGCTGCTGGCTGCTTGCTGCTACTTGTTGCTGTTTGCTGCTTGCTGCTGGTTGCCTGCTGGCTGCCTGCTGGTTGTTCGCTGGTGGTTATTTGCTGCTCTCTGCAATGGATGTGTGAATTTGTGAAAGTGAACATTCCAGGTTCAAGAACACGTCTCAGTGCCTATCCCAAATTCTCCGTCTCAGTGTCCTCCGTTGCCGCAAACTTGCTTGGGATCCCGGCAACCGAAAGTGTTGAGGCAGCAGTGCCCTGTGCACGCATCTGGTTGGTGGTTTCAACCCACTTTAAACACATTTGGGGTCCATCCCAAGTAAAGGTTGAGAAACCGCCAACCATGTGTGGGAACGTCCTTGAGCTATACCATATAAATATATGCCTATGTTAGGTTGGTTGAAAAGGGGTCAATGTAGATCAATGTGGCATACATTGGGTACATCCCATTATTATATACCAGTAACAGGGGATGATGATGGTTCGGTTGACTGGCTTTCTCAAAAATAGGGGAAAACACACTTGTCAATTGTCCCACTCTTGCTCGCTGTTACTGGCAATCGGACACACCCTAGGTGTACATCTATAGTCCATTTGACCGGAGAAGGCCATGATTTGACCCCTGGTTTGGATCCTCCAAAACAGGGATCTCACTCAAGTTCTAGGTTCTACTCAAGTTATACCCCTGTCCAAAACAGGGGTCTCCCTGTTTTTAACAGGGGTCTCCCTGTTTTTGATCCTCCTAAAACAGGTCGACCAAAACACATGAAGTCCCCGAATTCAGATTTCTCCTCGCTCTGTCCACGTCCGTCGTCCACGAAAACGCGTAACCCTCTCGTGCAGACTCTCTGCGTCCTCGATCTGGGGGACTGGGTGTCCATGAGCAGGTGGACCTCGGCTGGTTCTTGTCCATTCCTCCAAAGAGATCGAAACGTCAAATCCCTTTCAAAAGGTATTGGACACTGTGCCACTATCTATCTTTTTTCGGGATCACTATATTAGCAGTTCAGGAAGCGACGATTTGGGGCACCATCGTTGTGCGGGACATTCCCCCAACACGGATCACCTATATCAAAGACCATAGGTTTTTACATCGTCTTGGACTTCCAGAGACCATTCCATCAAGAGACTTCCACTCCCACCAATCACGCTGAGACCGAGGATGGCATGACTTTTGGCATGACCCCTGAATCGAACATGGGTACTAGAGATACGTATCCCATGAACCAGCTACATGAGCTTCCTGAATCGAAGCCGTTTTTGGTTCGGACATGACTACAGGTGGTGTACTCGTTGAAGACTCCATTGGAGTCGTCGGTCTGTGGGGCGGGGGAGAAAAGAATGGCAGCCAGCCACCAGAGCACACCGCCCCGGGAAGAGTTCAGGGAGTGTATGACATGAAACCATGTTAGGGAGTGTATATGAATGATCATTCTCATAAACCACTTTTCAGAGGCATTGGACGCAGTAGGTTCAAAGGCTTTATTGAGGATTGTTCGCGCATCAGCCAGGCCACCCGAGTCAAGGAAGAGAAGGCAAAACTTCTGTGGTTTGGAGGTGGCTTTTGCTGGATTTCCCATGAACAGGGGGGATGCGTTCCATGCTTTTCTTGGTGAGTTGTAGACTTAGCAGTTTGGTGCACCTATACTTGAACACCGAGCAAACGAGTCACCCGTTTAGAATGTCGAAGAGGAGGACGTTGTCACTCGTTTTCGGCCTCGTGCCGTCGTGGTCCTCCCGAAATTGGGATGGTCAGCTGGATGACAATGGACGATTCGTAGCTCAATTGGATTGTCAAAATCTTCTTTCCAGCTCCACCCACATCCACCTGAGAGTCCAGGAACATGACTCATTTGACCCCCATGGTAGTGGTGGATGGATTGACTAGTGACTACCATGCAGGTGGTTTGTTTAAGGAGTAAAATGACTCTGGAGGCCATGCAGGATCACAATTCAAAGCTCAGGTATAGCTCCAGAAGCTATAGCTATGAGTCCTACTATGGTCTCGAAGCGAAGCGAAGCTCGGATCCTCCCGTTCCAACGGCTCGGCCGCCCGGCCAGCTGGTGTGGTCGGCATCAGAAAGGCAGTTGAAGCACCTGAAAGGTGCAAACAAACCGCAAAGCCAAAGGGAAGCCTTTCTTGGAGCCCCAAACGTTTTAACATGTTAATGTCAGTTACTGTAAATTACTATAGTTAGTATAATGTCAACTCAGATTTTGAGTTTGGTTTGGACAGACCACGAACATGGGTTGTTTGGCAACAAAAACAACAAAACACTTTACCTGGTTCTTCAAAGTCACCTTTTCATCCCTGGGCTTGAGGTCGCTGGGCCTGTAAACGTTAACTTAGAGACTCCAAAAAGGTCACTTTGAAGAAGCTGGTATATATCATATCCATTCAGGACACGCCGTTCATTCTCCATGCCGTGTCCTGCGGTTGTGGATAGCCACACCTCTCATCGATCCGATACACCGTCGGGATGTCTTTTCATTGGAGGCGTTTGTTCGGGAACATCCTATGGAAACCCATGGGTTTTGCAGCCAAAACCCACGGGCCTGGCACGGTGCCAGGCCACCAGTTCGGTGTTTTGAGGGCGAACAGGCGAACAGGCCTGGCTCGATCTGGGTAGCTCAGTCCTAGGAGAGACCTTCCAGGCAACGACTCCCTGGAAGAAGGAAGAGGTCTACTCACCCATATCCCCGCCACCCACCCTCGCACCGAGGGTCGCACCGACCACGGCCACGGCCGCCGCGGAGCCCACGGTCCTCCATGCTGCTGGCGGTGTTGGAGGCCAATGTGTTGGTGGGGAGCCAAGTAAAAGATGTGGATCTGGAAATCATTCGCAAGAAGACATATATGGAAGAAACACAAACAAAACCATGGTCCACATTGCAAACAAACACCGTTTTCTAAGAAAACACCAACCACCGTAGTACACCGTACGCCTTGATTTTTTTCGAACACTGAGAAGATCTGAGTGACGTGGCCCCGCCGTCCTGGAAGAGGGAGCCATGTGTTCGGCGAAACGTCGACCAGAACGCTTTGTCTGTCAGGCACGGTTTAAGACTGATCCAAAAGGCGTCTGCGGGTAAAAGACCCGTCTGAGACGAAAGGAGACCTGACAAGTCACCACGAAACGATACCTGCGGATTTTCTCTTCAGAAAGATTTTTATTTTTTTAAAGCTAATTAAGTTTTGTTCAAGTCTTTTTGTTGCACCAACTGTTGAGAAACAATCCAAATACAAACATCATCATTTGTATAAGCTGCAGTGAGAGATTTGAGAGGTTGGATGTTCGATCGATCAGCTTCAGAATGATTCTATTTTCAGTACGAAACATCCTGCAGTCGTTTCTGGATGTCACGGTCTGCACTCAAACACGCTTGCTTGCTTGTTTGCTTGCTTGCTTGCTTGCTTGCTTGGTTGCTTGGACGTCAAACGCTTTTTGCCGCGGCAGCGCGGTGTCATGTGGGAAAACTCTCATGGTACCCCAGTTCGAGAACTTGAGTACTGTATGGCTGGCCGTGGCACATGGGCGCCCTTAAGGCACTTGGGACATTTGCTCCGCACTTCAGTGTCCGTCCATGTCTCCTGGAACTGTTGCGAAGAACGATCATCATGATGAACGTATCAGCGCTTTCCACAGGCATCAACATGTGGTTCATTGGCTCGAACACTTCCATGCAATATCCTTGACTCGGCTGACAAACGTCTCGTCAGCAGCCAGTTCTGACTTTTGAAGTCAAGCAGTCAAGCAGATTGAAATACTGTACCAAAGAAAAAACCTGAACTCTTCGTATCTGACTCTGGACAAATAGGACATACGCTTGGAGGTATAGTTACTCCGCTCAGAACTCTTGTCTCAAATTCGAAAGACTCTTTATGCCAAGCTGCCAATCCCAATATAAACCGCCACTTGGGATACGGGGATTTATACGATTGGAACTTGAACCAAAGATTTGGCATTTGGTTGTGGTTTAAGTATATGCGAGACTCCCAGTATCCAGGATCCTTCACAATAATGCTCCGCGATTGCGTTTGGCCAAACGCATTCGACCCTTTGTTCTGAACATGCTTTGGAATAGCCACCCCGAAACAAATGCTTCATTCCAATATGGCGGTACAACTGGCGATACAAGATATCACAAGAAAGACCCTTTACAAACAGGCTAGTCCTTAGACTCTTTGGCTTAATGTATGTAGCCTCTTGATTAATAAGCCCTTCCACTTGAATTGAACATCCTCTTCAAAGAGGGGTATGTATGATCCCCAAAGAGTAATGTAGACTCTTGAAAATCCTCCCACTTGAAAATCCTTGTATTAATTCAAGAGTCTACAGTCTACATTACCCTACAGGTCAAAGACCTCATTTGACTGGGTCTTTGGACTTGTAGGGTTACTTCTTTTGTTTTTTTCGCCTTTTGGAGATCTTCGTCTTTAGCTCCGCCGCTCGGACGAAGACGAGACCATCGGTCGATGGCCGATGGTCACACCTGTTAACCCGTCGGGTCGTGGACGGTCAGCCCGACGCCACGTGACGGACCCATCCGAACCCCGTTCTCCGTGTTATAGGCCGAAAAGGGTTTAGGGAAGAAGAGAGAGAGATGTGATCTACTGCAGTTAAGACTGTAGGATACTATAGGACCTTTTTTCTTTTAAAGAAACGGGGTAACCCAAGACCCCCTCCAGAAGATCCCAGATGGCTAGCTGGCAACTATCACTAACAATTACCAGAGACGATATTTCGCTTCGTTGCCGCACAACACTTGCCCCAATTTCTGTTCTCCCCAGTTCTCCATCCCTTCCCTAAGGATCCGAGTACCTCCTCAACAGGTACTTGGACCCTTCTGGCCCACCCCAGTGCCACCGAACCTCAGAGGGTACGACTGGATCCTTAGGGCTTGTGATGATGTCCAGAAAATCCCTCCGTGTTCATTGGCCATACCTCCGGACCCGCTCTCTGGCCCGCCCCATCAGAAAATGGTCGCAGAGGAGGCCGCTTTGTCGGCGGCGGTTTGCCTCAGCCGCCGAGTCTTGCGGGCCGACGTCCTCAGGGGCCGAAAGAGGTCTTGTTCGTAGTAAGAATGCTACTAGTGGTACTGCCAGGAGCCCCTAGTAGCGTCCTTGCTCCTAGCAATAAGGCCAGGAGCCCCTGGTAGCTTCTTGTTCCTAGGCCTCCTGAGCAGGACCATTTCATTCCCTCTACGTAATTGGTGCAGTGGGTGGGGGGGTACCAATTCCATTGCCTGGTACATGTCCACTTTTTGATGCAACCACTCAGTTTCGGGAAAACCCCTCCCCCCCAAAAAGGACACGTGCATGGTTTTGCAGCTTCCCAACTGAACTTCCGGGTAACCACTGTCCTTAGGTGGACAATCCAACAACCCTCACCTGACAGGTGGGGAAAAGAAAAAACAACACGTCCCAAACACTTCTCCCCAACCGGGCGCCATGGTTTTCCCACCACTTCTCCCTCCCATTTCACACCAAAAACGTACGTCCCGAACACCGTCTCAGCGGCCAGGGGAGCTTGTAACCTTGGTTGGCCTTCGCCTCGGTGACCACTCCGACCCGCCACGTACTCGCCCCGTACCGACGGCGGTCCCGCGCGCGGCGGGGTTGTCCGCGGCGGGTTCCGGGACGGGTGTGCGGCGGACTGCGGGGGAACGACCGTTGAACAGACATGACTAATGGGACTGCCATAGGACTGCCGATCAGTTGGGCCCTCTGGCACCACCCCTGGCCGTTTGGACTGCAGTCCTATGGCAGTCCCAGACGGGTCGTGTCTGGGGTTGAACTGCGAAGTGAGTCTTCGTTGAACAGCAGTCCAAAGAAAGACAGAAGGACCGTCTGATCGGATTTTATAGCGGATTTTGGGTGATCATATGTCATGGCTTCAGGATAGATCTTGGAACCACGGGGTTTAAAGGTCTATTGCCCTGGCTTTGAAGAGCTCTGTTTCGGATTTTAGCTGAAAAATAGCACTCTGAACTGCGAAGATGTCTCCATCTCATCTCCAAGCTGGACACTACGGGACAGGAATTACTCGAACGTTCGGATCACTGACTTGGGTTCAAGGACCATCTCCATCTTCCAGTCGGTTCCCAGCACCTTTTCTCCCAGAAAGGGACGCTGTGGGAGGGCCGTGTTTCCAGCGTTTCTGGTGAGACAGGACCCTGACAGCGTCCCTCTCTGTTTTCTCCTAGATCTTCTCATCCAAACCACCTAATGTAGAACCTTGATTGATCCAACCCCCGATATGAAGAGGTTACTGAAGAATCCAAATGAAAAAAACACATATTATCATCAACATTTGACATGTTCATCATTGTTCATCCGCTGAACGGGAACTCCCTTGATCCCAGTTGAGCCTGTTTGAACAGAAACATGTTGTTCTAAACTCCACTACTGTGCGAATGAGTCAGCTCGCTATCCACTTCTGTTTGAGCGCATCTGTCACAAGCCCCCCTCAGACCATCTGAGCCAAACCTCTTTTCATGTATAGTCATCCTGGGTCCTGGAGTAGATAGAATATGGAAAAAAAACGACACCCATAGAAGAATGACCCTGTTTCTTGTTCATATTCTATCTGATGCTATCTGGTCCAGGATGCTTGTAGATGAACACATGAAGACTGTAGGTTTCTTGTCTTGTGTTCAATTGTGGTGTGAAGTGGGACGCAGGATGTGGCAGCCACAAACAATCAGCAGCCGGAAAAACCATACGGCATGCATACGTCATGCTGCATGGGTTCGGCTTGTCGGACCTAAGGTCTGGCCAATACATCGAATGACTAAGGACCACGTCATCACCCAGTTGGATGGATTGGTTTAAGGACACCGGGACATGCCAATACCCGTTTGGGATCCTGCCCCACCTCCGTTTCGGTTCTATGGTTGGGGTGGATGGGCGCGTGAGGGGGGTCTGTTTCACCACCGAACTGGCCTGGAGATGGGCCAGCCCCACAGGGTTTTAAAACATCTTGGATAGGGAGTTCATTGGGTCTATCCTATTGCCTGTAACAGTGGATTTTTTCCGCTTTGCATCTTAACGAAGTGAAATAGAGTGGTATTCACTTCCAGACAGTTGGTCAGTGTTCACGTGCCAACAGCCTAATCAGAACAAATTACAAATTGGAACACGAATGCGTCAATGCAAGGCTGGCATGCAAAAGTAAGGACCAAGACGTCCATGGGAAGTCAATGCTCAAATGCGTGAAGAAAACTTCGGTGCTGCTGGTCCAAAATACAACGTACAATTTGGTCAAAAGACAAATTCAGAGACTCTGGGTGTTGTGGCACGGGCAAACCAGAAACACGCCAATGCAGGTTGAAATGTCTGGAAGGCGGTGAGGCCTGTTTTAGATAGGCATCCAGGGCTAAAGCAGAATCAAAGCCAGAAGCAAGTTTCGGTCTCCCCTTCAGGGCAGGGAACCAACCTCTGATGCCAATCCAGTTTAGCTCATCTGTACGATCAATCTTTTCCCGGTCATGGCCAAAGGGATACACGCCTTGGGCGTGAAGCCACTTGAGACAGAGAATGAAAATTTTTGACTGTGCCGCCAAGGTCTGAGGACCTTTTGCGTCAGCTTCTTTGGAAACATCTTGTAATCTAAAATCAGAAACCCCTTTCCAAGAACGAGCTTTTCCGGGGGCCATGTTGACTGGAGCAATTGATTTTGTTGTGACTGAGAAATCTAGGTACAATTGTGCAAAGGTAATACGAGTAGAGCATGAACAGCTCGGCCCACACCAATGCAATTGTTTGGCCCACCAAAGTAACCGAAAACAAAAGATAGGATGGTAGGGGCACCTTTTGCACAGTTCAAGATCAATGTCAAAATTAACACTTTTGGAACGGGAACATGGGGCCCACTTGAGCTGGGCAGTAGCTAGGACATCAGCTGATTGTATACGACCACGTGTCTGGTTGTCAATTTTGTTTTTCTTTTTATAAGCATTAATGGAGTCCACCCAAACAGCAGCAACGTGCCTGTAACAGTGGATGATGATGGTTAGTAGAGGCCTTGTCCAAAATAGTGATAATTGTTTACTGACTGTTACAGGTAATAGGACAGACCCAAGGAATTCATTTCTGGGAACATCAGGAAATCACTCGATTCAGGCCCGAAAACACCAGTTTTGGCTGCAAACAGGTTCGCCTGCAGATCCTCTGCAGCGCGTTGTGCAGCAGCAGCCTCCCGGGCAGCCTTTGCCTGATGAGTTGGTGAGATCAAACGTTGTTCCGTTTGTTTATTTCTGGTCGTTGAAACTTTGCATCCTTCTTTTTTGCTTGTTTCTGATTTTGCTGTCTGTTCAATTGTTCCTTGCGCAAAAAAACATAAACATCACCAAACATGTGACACATCTAAACATTGTTCATCATTGTTCGCTTGTTTCATCACCGAACGCACATGTCACATGTTTCCAAACATCACCAAAGCGCTTAACGATCTAAACATCTGCCCAGGCGCTCCGTTCACAGCTCGACCGGTCCCGAACCAAAACTTGGTTTGGTTCGGGTCCCCCCTCCAGTCCCGATTCGGGTCCGAGCATGGGTTCGGGGCCGAACGGGTCGCGTCTGGGTGGCCAAAACTGTCCGATCTCATAGGTTCAGGGTCCAGGGTCTGCATAGCTTCGGGTCCATAAGTTCTGGTCGCGTCTGGATGATTGGAACCGGCACCCAATGCTCCAACAACCGCCGATGATCCAACCCCCACCTGGGCTTCCAATGCGCTACGCACACGTTCCTGCGCTGAAGCTGCCTCTTGAAAGAGCCCGGCCGCCTCAGGTCGAGAAAGTGGGCCAGTGGATGTAGAGGTTCTTCGATTCAAAAGCGGTTCAGGTGAAACTCCGAGGTGAGGTTCTTGACTTGCAGGATGAACGATGAAGTGTTCGTTTGGCCTCTTCGTCCCTGCACCTCCTTGCACCTCCCCGCACCCCGTCGCGTCCTGCCGCCCCCTGCCTTCTCGGCAGTGGCGGAGCGCGCCTCCTCCACAGCCTTCAGCTCGGCGAGCTTCGCTTCCTGCAGCGATGGTTCCGCTGAACTGAATGGCAACGAGGAACAGCTGGGAGTCCAAACAGTGAAACTAAGCCGGCAAGGTGGCAATATGTGGGCAATGAAAGCGCAAACGGCGTTCCTCGGCCGTCTGTGTATTTGACATTATTTGACACGACCCACAATCAAATGTTGAAATCCGGGAAGTATACCCCAGACGCTCCATGGGACTGCCATATATGCCGATCAGTTGGGGTGGTTTGAGGGCCCAATGTATAGGCATATATATATGGCAGTCCCATGGAGTGTCTGGGTACTGTCATTGATTTTGAAGCTTGTCTTCGATTCGACCGACCCCATGGTGTCCTGTAGCCAGGATGCTGGTCCAAGTGTGTGGAGAGGCACGAGCACACAAGCACTTCAGACTCGGAAGCAAAACAGTTCGTGAACAAAGACAGAATGTCAAAGCGTGGCAAAACTGTTCAAGGTCACCAAACAATCACGCTGCCATTTTGTGCCATTCATCGCCACATGGTGACTGTCAGGCATTGGGGCACTTTTTGTTTTTGATTTTGCAGTTGCCAAATCAAAGTATGGACACGACGCTGCAGCATTCTCTTTCTTGCAACGCTTTGGCTGCGCAAAAAACGCATGGACGAACGTAGAGCTTGAGAGCTTGTGCCTTTGCCGCAAGGTTTGGACGCTGTGCCATTGATGGCTTGGGCCATGTGTAGTTGGACGCCTTTCGCCTCAAATCGCCCCTTTGGGTCGCCTATTGCATGAGCTTGGTGGCACCTGGGCACTTGCATCGCGAAAAACTGGTTGAACAAGCGAGATTGAAGCTCGTAATGGCACTGAACATTTCAACCATTTTTCCAGTAAACAAGGGTTGGCCTGACCGCTCGAAAGGAACACAGCCAAGCGCTGTGTTCAAGCGTCCAGAGCAAGCGCTCCGAGCAAGTGCCATATCACGGCACCGCGGAGTTCCGGCACAAAGTCTGGGTGCTGGCGCCGAACTCTGCCACTTTGCGCCGTGAGTGTTGAACACCAGGTTTGGTGACTTGCTGGCCCCGCGGCCTGCGCATGACCCCGTGCTGGATGAAATCAGGTCCCGCCTGCGGCCTGCGCAATATATGCAGTTTGAGACGCTTTTCGTTGCCCGACATCCCGCAAACGTCTGAGACGTTGCGCACAACATATCACCGTTCGTCCGTTCGTCACAGTCTGCGAGCTGCAGTCGCCGTTCCCACGGAGACGAAGGAAACCACATCGACAGCAGTCAGACGCGCCACGAGTCCGGAGCGAAGGGCGGGCATCGCGACTCGAACGGAACGATCGGACGCGAACCGAAACGGGGCGGGCTCCTGGCCGTACGACTGGTAACAAGAAGCTATTAGAAAGAAGCATTAGAATGCATGACAAAAATATATAACTTAATTTTTAACAGTGTGGAACACATGTGGTTCCAGGAGTGCGCTCCGTAACTCCACGGAAAGCAGGCGTGTCACCCCGTTGCGGGCCCAAGCCACATTGAAGTGAAGCTCATGGCCTTCAAAAGGTAAATATATACAGTACTAATATTATATATAATGATACAAAACAATTACTTTACTTCGAGTTAGGGCCTTCTTTTCATCGACTAGACTTGAGCTTTCGAGCGATCTTTGGAGTCAATATGGAGAGCCAACTGATGACAGCCAACCTCGATCACAGCCCACCTCGTTGCAGGACCCCCCCCTTCGCCTCCACGAGGCGCTTGGCCTCGGCCGCCTCCCGTTCGGCGGTCGCCCGCACCTTGCGAGCCTCCGAGCGGCTGCGGGTGCGCGAGGCACTGGGAGGGTCCGTCTATCTCGACCGAAGAGCAGCCGTTCTTTGGTTCGTCGTCTGTGGTGTTTTTTGCTTTTGATATGATCTGGGAACCCCTGAACTGCATATGTTGGATATCAATGGTTCCTGAACACCTGCGCATTCAAGCGTCGTTCTCGTTTCTTCGTTCCGAAAAGTCCTGAAGTGCAAGGCGCTGCAAGTGGGAGCAGCGGCGGAGGAGACATTGATCCTTTTAGGTTGGAGGATATTTGGAGATGCGAGACTCATGTCTTGAAGTCTTGTGTGGAGTCTTCAACTTCCACCCTGCTGTGGAGCTTTGGAGATCGAGATATATACAAGGGTTCTCTATGACACATCCTTATCATGGTTTCGTGGATGGCTTGGTCCCAATATCAAATGACCATGTTACTTTTCTCTGAGAACCTCCCTGGTATCATGGCTACGTGGATGGTATGGCCCCGCGGCCCCGCTGGTGATTTCCCAGTGGACCCTCCTGTCTGGGTCATCTGGCTGGACTACCCGACCCCCTTAGGGATCTTCATGGTAGCACCCATTGGGATGCTCCAGGTATCATACATACCCATACACTCCATGGGACTGGCATATATGCCTACATTGGGGTGGTGCCAGGGGGGTCAATGTAGGCATATATGGCATACATGGAGTGTCTGGGATACATATACCGCGAAACACATCATTCATTCTATCCCAATGAGTCCGTCCTCAACCCATTTGAAGACGACGTCTCGCCACTCGGTGGCCGTCAAACGCCCGCACCGGTCGCCTCGGCAATCTCAGCCTCCAGGGTCGACGTGCGCATCTGTGCCGCCCGGGCGGACTCCTGTGCCTGACGCGTTGACCGCAAAGGGGTCGGTTTGGTGTTGTTCTGCAGGACACGACCGACCAAACGGGTCTGGAAGTTCCATGCCTGCCCAACCCCTGAAATCAACCAACCAACCCAGTTTACATTGATATTCTGGAACGATAAATTCTAATTTCTCTTTGGACAACTATTTTTATATGCGTTGCATCGGGCTCGGTACCTTTCAAGTGTGTTTTCAAGAAAACCTTGAATTTCTGGACAACTCCACCAACACACAGTTTCTGCCGAGTCAATGTCTAAATGTGATTCCCAGACATCCCTCAACAAAAAGCGACACGCAGCAATTTCTGCGCCGCAAATGGACCTTTGCAGAACATCGCAGGAGTCAAAGATAGTCAAAGACTATCAGGTTCAGCGAAGCAACTGCTGCATGTTGGCTCGCGAGTTCTAAAAGTCAAATGCGTTTCTCATCTCTGAGTTTGAGCCGAACTGGGTGAAGCTTCCTCCCAAACAATCATTCATGATCCGTTCTAATCTCCTTAGCTCTTCCCTTTCATCTGATCTCCATCTAAGCTAGCAGTCTTCCAACACACTCCCTTTCATCCTTCCGATCCCCTCCAAATCCATCCCCCCTTTTCAGAACTCGCCCATCTTCACCCCTCAGGCCGCGCCGCGCCAAACGCGCGGAACCCGCGTTCTCCCGCGCCTGGGCCTCGAAGGTCTGTGCCTGGACGGCGGCCGCTCGCGTCTTCTCCTGCGCGGCACTCGCGGCACTCGGCTCTTCGGCGCTGGGAGGAGATGTTTCTGGTACCTGTTGTACCATGTATCCACCTGGAAAACGGGTCATCTGGAAACGGAACATCCAAGGATTGAGATCAGGCAGGGTGGATCTGAATCAACCCAAACTAAGGCTATACAATGCTATACACTATATAACTATATAGATATAAACTTGAAGGTCTCCAAACAGGGCACCCAAACAGGAAGTGCTAGGTAATGCTATATGGGGATGGGTCAAAACCTGGAGCCCGAGCAATCCACCCATGTAGCGAACGACCGACAGCAGGTCGGGCAACCAAGGTAGTTTGGACCCACAGTCCACAGTCATACAGGAACCTTTGCAATCTCGAGGAGGACAAAAGCAACAGGATATACCAGGACACAACTGGTTCTTGATGCTACTTGGAGTTGATCTACTTCATGTATTGATCTAAATAACCTATACAAGAAACCCAACTCATTTGTACACCCAAACTCCGCATAACTCCGCATAACTCCCACCCTGCTTCACCGCACTCCCGCAGCGGCAGGTCGTCGTCCCCCGGTTCTCTCGCCTGTGACGCCTGGAGATCGGCGGCGAGTTTGCTCGTCTCGGTCTCCTTGCTCTTCAGACTGACCTCCGAGCGTCCACACGACGGCGACGGCGGCGGCGGAGGGTCGGGGCGGTCGGGCCGCGCGGCCGGGTGAAGGGCGCGTCCCACCGCGTTCCACGCGCGTGGTGACCAGTTCGTTGGGGTCGTGCCGGGCTCGGTGTGGCAACTCGTGGTGAGTCGATGGAACACGTGGGAAAAAGGAGTCACTGGACTTCGGGGGAAAAGGACGCCTGCGACAAACACCGAGCACCGGTCGTGGGTCTTCGGGACTCTTTACGTAGACTCGAAAAAGGCTCGGTCTTCAAGACTTCCTTGGACTTGGTCAGTACCCTCGTAAAGGGTACGCATACCTGCAGGACTCGAAAAAAGGGCCTCGCTGCCTATCCTGAAAGACTCTTCAAGACTTGGTCTTGGTTCCCTGGCGAAACGGCTGAGCCTTTCACACATCGCGTTGACGTCGACACTCCCATGGGACTGTTATACAGTATACGTTGACCCCTTTTCAACAACTTCCCCCAGTCGGGGCCAGGATCCCCAGGAGTTTGGGGGCTATAAATATATAGACACCCCACCAGACACCCCTTGGAGGGTCCTGGTATGTTAATAATATGTCAAGACCATTCAAGACCTTCATCCAACCCGCCAGTGACCCCAACTCCCCCACCTAACTCCCCCCAACTCCCCCAGACCTCGAGTTGCTGGAGCTCAGCCGCCAGCTTCTCATTTTGGGCATGGGACTCCTGTTTTTGTTGGAGTCTTTAGGATCCGAACAGGCATTTCCCTTTACTTTGGTGGTGCCAAAAGTCGTCGAACGAACTGGACGTCTTTTGGGAGATAAAGATTGAATCTTGAAGCTACAAAGAAGGTGAATGACATCCAAGGATTTACCCCTATCCCCTATCCAGCCATCCTAGATGAGGAAGCCCGAGGTTCTGGCTCTCTGGTGTTTTGTTATTGACTGGATCGCCTGATTGCCACATGCCCACCTTACAAAGAAGCCAGTCTCCACACGCCCCAGGCGTGTCAAAACCTCTGTGAATCTCTCTGCAGCTTTCGCACCTCACGTCACACCGCCTCACCAAGCGCGGCCGTTTGCCACATCCCGTTCATTCACGGTGCCACATCCACGGTGCCCAAAAAAGGCGCAGCGCCGTTGGCCACATCAAGTTCTTCCTATCGAATCCCTTCGCAGAAAGTCCGGACCCAATCGCCCGAACCCTATCGCTGTGTTGCGGCCAGGGCCAGGGCCCGGATCCGGGTCCAGAGGCGATTTGGACCTCTCACAGTGGACTCTTAGACCCTCACAGCTTGTGTCAGCTTGAGGGTCCAGCGCCTCTAGGGCTTCACACCTAAACAACCACGTCGCTGCTCTCTCCAGCCGTCCACACCCCACCTACCACTCCCTGCTACCTGCACCCTGGGTGAAACCCAAAAATCAGCGCCGCATCCGTCCGTGAGCTTCGTGGTGAAGATCTGTTCGTTCTTGGCCACCGTCTCCAGGAGGTTCACTCGTCTCATCAGCTTCCTTAAGGGTCGAACCACCGCCGGGGGGGGGGAGACCGGGACCCGGGACCGGAAGACTGACGTCTCTCGCTTCAGAGGTGGCTCCAGGGTGTCCCTATATGGGCGACTTCACTATAGACCTCAACAGGTGGTTGGTTAGACCCCCCTGGCACCCACCCCAACCACCGAACCTCCGAAACTGGAGCTAGGCCAGGAGCCCTAGGGTGTACTTCGGTCTGATCTTCTGATTGGTGGTCTTCTTTCAGGTCCAGCCACGGTCGAGATCTTCCGAACGAACCGCCACTCTCAAGCAGAACAGCAATGTAGGTGCAGCCAATATAATCCAAAGGCTCAGCAAGAACCCTCCGTTCGCTAGGGTCTTGGATCTTACAAATAGGGTTTTGTACCGAACCAACATGTTGGCAGTTGGTTCAGGTCCAGAGTCGCCTCTGCATATCACGCGTGTGATGTAATTGGGCCTCCAACCCCAAGCACCACCCACAAGAAGTAAGGACGACCACACAACCCCCGAGGCACCCTGGTAAATAGGCACCCCACTAGATCGCTCATCCACATTCTCAGCCAAGTGATGGGGCCGAACTGGTGTGGCCAAGCCCAACCAATTGCCCCACCAAGCGTCTTGTTTTCTTCTTCCATCTTGGGAAGGCGTTCTTCCAGGGCTTCGTTCTTGCTCTGCGCCTGCGATGAAAAGAACCGACCAACCTGCGACGAACACTGGGTGACGGTGATGCCTTCACCGCCGATTTAGGTGTTGAATGCTTTCACAGGCCATCACGGATTAGGGCATTTGAAGCAGGGAACTTCAGTCAGGGATTCAGAAAAACATCCGGTCTGTAACTGGAAACCAATGCTTTACAAACATCCTGAAGGCAGTAGTATGATGCCAACTCCAAGAAAGCCGATGGAACTGCCCTGCAAAGCCTGAACCCACCGCCGAACTTACCACTGCCAGAGGCATTGAATCATCATTTGGACCGGTCAGGGCCCGGGCTGCTTCCCTTCAGTGTCGACTCCTCTGAGTAGTTCACTGGAAGAATGCCCAGCCCAAACGACATTGGACAAATTGATCCAAAAAAGAGCAACTGCCAACTACTTTGGGGCTTAATGGAGGAAGTCGAGGTGCCCCTGTCACATCCACTCACTGGATGGGACTAAACCCCACCCCTTTGTGACCCCTGGCTTTGTTCAAAGCTCTTGTAAACCCATGATGATGGTCCCATCACCTCTGAACCCCCTCTGATATTACCCCACCCACTCCCCACCACTCACCGGACTCCACTTCCTCCACGGAAACATGGGGGCGGATAAAAACACACCGCACCTTCCTGGCACGCCCCGTTCGGACGGAGCGTCGCCCCACGCGACGCTGCTCCATGTGACACCCGCGCGCCTGCGCGAGCACCACGGCCAGGTTGCGCTCCTTCGTCAAGGCATCGGAGATACTGGCCTGGAAGCGCTTCCGCGTCGGGGCAGCTGAGTCCGCGAGGGCCCTGGGGGTCGAGAACCGCCCGCCCAGGCCTGGGTTGGGTTGGGGGGTGGAGGAGAAGATCGGGCTCCAAGCCCATATGGATGGGGAAGAAAGGGGGAAAAAGGGCAATGGGTTCTTAAGGACCAATGAGTTACTGACTAAAAGCAATGAATTCTTAAGTCGTTTCTTCACCATTCTTACGATGTTTTTTATCTTCATGACCAAACACCTCTCCAAACATCCCAAACATCCTGCCACGCCACACTTCTCTCCCGGGGAGACGACCGTTCCACCGACTGTTCCACCGACCGTCCTCCAAGACCTTCTGCTCGCTCTGGAGGCGCTTGACTTCCACCGCAGCTTTCTGAGCGTGGACGTCCCGCCGTCGGGAGTCCGGCTGGTGGGGTGAGTGGTGCGTGCTCCGCTCGTCTGGTGCCTCTCTTCACCAACAGAATCTTCTGGTGAGGTCTGGGTCTTCAGGTGAGTCTTTTTCGACATTCACTGGCATGACGGTTGGTGAATGTCAATGTGGTTAGTGACGGTTAGTGGTTTCCAAGCCACTTGAAGAATATGAGTGGCTTCACTCATCCCAAGATAAAGGTTGCAAAAAGAAGACACATATCCGAAACGACCACCACCTAGACAAGCTTGGATGTCAGATGATGTCAGATGTTCCATTTTCTTTTGAACATCATCACAGATTCACACTGGGCCTATGACTCATAATGACTTGTCTCTTCACTCACACCAAGCTGACCGATCTTACTAGGCCACGCTTCCGAATGAACGAGCATGGCCAGCTCATCCGACCCAAGTCGGTGACGATCACCCGACCGTCTTTTCGTGAGGAGAATCGACCACATCTCGGCACCTGCAGCTCTTCGCTGAGCTGGATTTCCTTTGTCTGGGCGGTTTTCAGTGCCAAATCCAACTCCGTCACCTGCGGAGTTAAGCGCGCTTTCGACCGGTCCGGCGATCCAGCGCAAACGCGTGTTGGAGGATGGGGAGGATGAGCTGGGTGGGGTTGCGCTTTTGCGCGCCCCATTCTCATTCTCCCCAAATGCCCTAAACACACACCCTCTGGATGAATGTGATCCTAACATGATCCAACTACTGTATATAGCTGGTGCTATCCTGGTCCTGCCCGTGATGAACAGGCAAGCATGCTGGAGTGAAGCATGAGTTGTAATCTGAGGAGCTTGAATTGGGGAGTGATCAATTCCATGGCCTTCTCTGTCCCTTGTTGTCATATCCCCATGGCCCACATGAACTAACAGTGATTCCATGTGATTCCAGTTCATGTCATTCATTTCTCTATCTCAGTGAACTGGGCCGCCGGAACATGACCTGTCGTCACCGTGTGGTGTTCATCTATCACTCTAGCAAGCATTTGACCAATCTACCCATGGAAAAATGCTATACCAAACACTTTGACATGGCTATGTTGACCACGGAATATCTCGATTGAGCTCTAGCCACCGCAAATCGCCTTCTTGTTCAGACCCTCAAGCTGGCTCTTGGCGCTCTTCAATTCGCCTTTCGCCTGGCAGCAAGACTTCCCACACACACACATCCACACAGCTTCACACACGTAGTCACGCACGCATCCAAAAGGGGACCCTGAGTGTGGAACTAACACTCGATCTGCCGATTTTGGGCGTCTCAGAAAATCACACTGCCCCGCAAAAAAGACCGCTGAAAACACATACCTGGACCATCCAAGGGGTGCCCTGTCTGGAAGCCTATGAGTAGTGTGGGGTAGTCCAGCCAGGACAACCCGACAGGAGGGTCCAGGTACATCTCATTGACCACTTGGCGCTCCACACCTGCTCTGTGGCGTTGTTCGTGACTTCCAACCTGCATCCACATGAAAGACGCGCCGCGCGCAAACCGCGCGCCACGTGCGTGCGTGGGGGTGGAGTCGTTTGACGCGAGAGTGGTGCGTCGACTGAGGCCGCAGCTGAGCTTCAATCTGCGCGAGTTGTGTTTGCAGCGCACCTTCCTGGCGGTTCGCTCGAAGAGGCGAGGCGGTTGAGAGTCGGTCTGGGCTGGGCGGGGCCCGGCTTCAACCTCCCCTGGAAGATGGGTCACTGGATGGGAGGAACAGAGTTCGGTCGAAAATCGGTCACGAAGCTGGATGATCTACACATGATCTTCCAGCCTTTGGAACTCTGAGTTTAGATACCTTATTCATCCTTATTCCTTATACCAGCACCGCCCAGTTTGGGTGTTTTATAGACCCCCCTGACTATATAAAATTTTCCCTCCAATACCCATCCGAAATGGGCGATGCTGGTAGATACCTTTTAAGGTAGGCCTTACGTAGGACTGAGGATGACGCACCCTTCATCGCCCTTCCCCCGCTTTTGGATTCCTGGCCCGCCCGTGATTCGTTCGATTGCCGAACAACCATGGTTTTACTGCGGATTTGACACTCCAAGACCATGTCGTGGAGACTGTTAAACTGGTCGAACAGAAGGGCTACCTATAGGGTTCCATGTCGGTGCCTTCGCCTCTGCCACTTCGCGGTCAGCCTGCATGGATGGCGGGTAGCGGGGGGCAACCGGTCCGAAGTCCAAGCACGTCCAACGGGCAACATCCGGCAACTGGTGAGATTTTGGTGTAGAACCACTGGAACTGAGTCACTTAGTGACTATATATATATATATACCACGGCCCCCTAAGGGGTGTCTAATTATAGCTCCTTAGAGGTTAAGGGGTATCCATTAACCACCCCTTAGGGGGTCCTGGTATATACGTCTTTTGCCTAATAAATTACAGTCCCTTCAGTTCCAAGTAACGAGGAATTTCAGATGGCACCACCTCCAAGAGACCCAGAACATCTAGTCGGTGAACTTTAGATGATGAGCCAGAACTCTTCATCACCTGAACTGAGTAGTGAATTTTGATACATTCACGTATACGGCTTCTGTAGATCATGCGCTCAGACTCCTGTTCTCTGTCCCAGTCAAATCACCAAGTGCTGAAAGAAAAAGCCATCGCCCCAGTGCAGTCTGTCTTTCGGGCCTTCACTTGAATGCCCAGTTGCCTGGGCGCAGAAGAGCGGTCGGGAGGTTTCATCCAGTTCCCCAAGGTCGGCCCCTGTCTTTCAACCATTTCCGATGATCATGTCTGTACTTGAGAGGAGGGAGACACGAAAGGTAGGACAGCGGGAAGAGAAGAGAACGCGAGAGGCAGGAACAAAAATGCAATGTTCGACATGGTGATTTATCCCCTCGGAGGCGACCTTTCGTAAATATATATGTTCATATGCACTCTAAATGTTCAAACATATGCTCTCGAAATGTTCAAAAAGATTCTTAGGAAAACAAACTTGCCCCATGGCTCAGATCATCGGTGAGCATTGAATCGGAACATCATATGTAGGATTTGAACTATCCTGAAACCATAAGAGGCTCACGAAGACGCTCCCCAGGAGAGAATTGACGTGCTTCACAAAACAAACTCTAGGTATATGTATCCCCTCGGGGAACACCTTTCGTGATTAGAATTTCATATTCACTCTTTCTGAATGTTCAAGAGGGTTTCAACTATCCTGAAATCATGAGAGGCTCACGAAGACGTTCTCCAGGAGAGAATTGATTTTAGAGGGGGGGAGGGGGTCTGAATTGAGCGATCAATTATTAGACCCGGACGTCCCAACACTTGCTTCGCAAGACAAACTCAAGGTATCCCCTAAAGGGCTACCTTTCGTGATAAGACTTTAAAGTCGTAATTAAGACCATCACGGAAGCCCACTTGGCACTTGACGGCCAACAACCTGTCCATTTCGGGAAGCTATTCGGCAATATTGGGCATATACCGCTTCCATAAAGGGCCATATTCCCTTCAGGCAAAGGAAACAAGATCCGTTCACCGAAGAAGAGGACCAAACCTAGGGACGACTGTGCAGGAATCGATGCGACGAGCTCCAAATCGAATCCTTTCATCCTCCAAATCAACTCTTCGGGAGGGTTTTGGACCCTGCATAGATAGCTTTGGACTTGAACCCAACCGTCACCAGCGGAGGGTCCCATTCAACTCGGGCACCAAATCGCCGCTGGCCCAATGGATTCAGACCCGGCTTCCGATTTCAGGACTTCATGCGCGAACTGACCCAGACCATCCGGTGGGACTGGCATTTTTACATTCATGGGTGGTTGAAAAAGAGCTCAGGTCCTTTGTGACCCAAAAAAGGGCCTGGTGATGGACATGAAGGTATATAGACAATATGGTGGGTAATTAAGGCAGTATTCGCCCTCCTTTTTGACCATCCAGCGCATGAATGTCTAGGGGATGGTATATAAACGTGAAGTGAAAAACTACGGTTGTGTTCCGCGCTCCTGACATATCTGCTCTAGGGCTCCAAGTGCTTTCTAAGAAGGTGGGACTGAGGTGGGTGCCAGGAGGGTCCAGTCATACCTTCTGAGGAGGTACGACGGGAGCCATACGCCTGAGTTCGTTGGCAGTCTCCAGGAATACGACGCAGTCTTCGAATGGAAAAAAACCTCCGACGCGCTCTTCCTCCTCGAAAACGCCGCTTTTCTGCTCGCCTCAAGTTCTCCATGAGGGACTGCTTTTCTTTCTCTAGGTGAGCAATTCGATCCTGCCGAAAAGGTTCCAGGCCAAACGATCACGGTGAGCACAAAAGGTACAAGAACCCTTTTTGCACAACAGTAGAAAACCTCAACAAAAAAGCTATGAAACATGGTGCAACAGTGAAATATCTTTTTTGTACCATCATCTGCATCTTCATTTAACTGCGTGCCACCTGGTGTTACCCCGGTGTGTTCCGGCAATGCTCAGCGGGACTCGCTTCGGGACCCGCGCTGCGCCGTTCGTAGGTGGCGGAAGCGGAGGTCGGTCCTCCTTCTGCTTGATGTCGCCCTCCAGTTCCACCTGCCTCTGAATGCTCTCAGCATCGGCTTGCCTCGAACCAAAAGATGGAAGGAGATGGATGGAAAAACATCTGCGTTTCTTTTTTGGAACCTGAGAAATCGAAGTTGTTCTTAAACGAGGTCCATTCGAGTTTGGGGCGGCTGTGCCGAAGTCAGAGCAGCTATTCTAGCCAGCCGTTGAAATGGCTTGAGACGAAGAACAGAACCTTCCCCCGACGTCACAGACTTCTCCCTCTAACACTTGCGGCTTGTTGAACGAACTCCCCTCCGTCCAAGAGTTAAGATGTCTTTTGGCCACCCACTTGGTCCACGAAAAGCAACACTTCCATTCCGTGGGCGTTTTCACCACTGACTGCCTCAGTTTCCCTGGAAGATCAAGGTTGACCAATTTCGCGAGGAAAACCAATCCCCAAGAAACGTTGCAAGGATAGTTATCAAGGTTATCCACTGGCTGGGTGGGAAACCCTCATGAAAGTCTCTGAATGACTCGGCTCCCCAAGTTGCGACTTGGTTCTCCCATCGCCGAAAGCCCATGAAATTCGCTTGACAGCTATTGCAAAGCTTGGATAGCAGCCTTCGGACGTCGGGGTATAAAACTATAAATTCCCCCAGATTTGGTGAGGATGGATGGCTTGGATTCACCATAGTTGGGCGCATGATTGGCTTGGGCTTTGTATTAGGAATTCACCATGATTCACAGGGCCTTATGGTGAAAAACACGTGTCTTCCTCATGTCCCAGACAGGACTAATGGGACTGCCACCCCATTGACCCCTGGCACCACCCCAGGCCTGATCCGGCAGTCCTATGCCAGTCCGGAGCAGTCGTGTCTGGGTGTTTTAGGTCCTGAGACCTCGGGGACCCAATCCCACCGAACGCCGGCCGGCCTTCGCTGCCGCTGCCCCAACGACCGTATGAAAGGGCGTCCGCGTCCGGTTCCGGAAGAGCGAGCTAAGGGAAGCACGTCAATCGATCCTGCAACTTGGCCATCTCCTGGAGCAGCTCGTTCCGGTTCGCCTGGCAGCAGCGGGCAGCACACTGCAGCACTGCAGCTGCTGAAGGTGTCGAGGGCGGCACAGTCAGGTCAGTTGACATATTTTGGGGGTGTCGATTTGGGAAGTGGAACATAGGGTTCATAGTCCACTCAGAATTCTAGGATTTCGGTGCCCCCCAACCCTCAAACAAGGAGACCTGGCCATAGATAGATGCCACATCTCTCTTTTTCATCCTTGTTTCACCAGGTACTCAAAGCAGGGAGATCAAGTTGCTTCACCTTGAAGAATCAGGAATACGCCCTGGCAACAGATTCCAATTCAAACCACCATGAATGTAATGGCCTTTGACAGAACAACCATTGTCTTTCTAAGGATGTTACACTACAAAACTAGCTCAACCATTTGTTTCATGGTCTTGGGAAGGCCAGGGGCCTCCCTATTGCTCCCCCCAAAAAAAACACCTCCGCCTTAGGAGCCGAGAAGGACACCAGGTACTTCCGGGACCGGATGATGGCTAGATGTTGACTCATGATCATCCTGACCGAGCTGGCGCTCATCGTCCATGAGTTTCAATCCATAGAACAGAACCATGGCTAATGGCTCACCCTCCCTGCAGTTCAATCAGCAATGCTTCTCCAGATTTTTTTGGGAGAGTTTTCCACTGCCTCCCAGGTTGTTGCGGAGGATTCCGACGCTCATGGCGCGAAGGAAACGGTGCCGCTTCCGTTGGCCCAAGAAGGGGCCAAGCCTGCATCTTTTGCTGGGCAATCTGAGACATCTCCAACTTGTCGTTGACTTCTGTGTAAATCTCCTGCAGGCCGCAGCGAGGTTGCCCGCCTTGCGCCAGAAACCGCTGAGACCTAGACCATTCGGTAACTATTTGGATCAATTTGGCAGTTCTTTCCTTACATCTCTTTATGTGAGTTCAACAAAAACTGGCTTGTTGCATGATACATCTTTTGTATTTTAAGTCTATAAGATGTTCTTTTAGATTCAAGATGATTCAAGTAATTATGAGGCCATGTTCTTTTCAACATGTTTCGTCCTCTGCGCCACCCGAGGACTCGATTGTTCTTCAGAATCTTCGAATGAAATGAGGGAATTCCGACGGTCAAATGGCAGGGGCCATCTTCTCCGCTCGAAAGCCTCCGCCCTCCAAAAGGAACAAAGACCCCTATCAACCCCTTGCCCTTGCTGGACTGATTTGAACTTTCAAGTCCATCCAGTCGCTGTCTTGGCACATGGCTCATTTGGGAACTTGATGCTTCCCCGGCGCTCCACCTCCATTCTCCCCCCTCCCCTTTCCTTTCAGCCAACCAATGCCCAGGGAGCACCCTCCCCAAAACCGCGGTCCCCTCCGCACCGCCCTTCCACCACCGCCTGCAACATGGCGATCTGCATCCGGAGCTCTTCTCCGACCCCTCGGCGGACCGCCGGTGTCGGTCGACCCTTCGGACCGGACGTGGTCTGCCGTGGTCTGCCGTGGCGTCGTAGTGAGGGGGCGTAGCTGGAAAACCAGTCCCAACTGGAAAGAGTTCTGATTGTTCCAAAGCTTGGCATTCATACACGTTGGGTATGTTCCATTACCAGTGGATGATGATGGTTCAGTTGCAGGTCTTGTTCAACAATGGTGATGCTCTTGTGTAACCTGGCTGTCTCAGGTCATGTTGTCTATGGACATCGATTGGATCTTGGATCCACTACCCTCTTCATCGACTGGATCAACCCACGTGGTGTGTTCCACTCGCCGTGCTGCCGTGCTAATCCGCGGAGTTCTGGGGAATCAGTTCGACACGAGGCCAGAGGCTTCTTGGGAAAAGGCCAGAGGGAAAAATGGTTTTATATCCCTAGAACCCAGACATGACGCCTGTTGGACAACACACACTGTTTGGGCTCCAAAGCAGGTGTCAATCAGGTTCTAGGGAAATTCATGACCCTTTTGAGAAATTGTTCGATAGAACACCGGAACTGCGTTGCCAAATCCCATTCGTTGGGAGGTCCTGACATACCAAAACATAAAGTGATGGTGGTCTTTCCCTATATAGGGATCCAGTCGTACCAAACCTCAGAAGGTGGGACTGGGGTGGGTGCCAGGAGGGTACAGTCATACCGAACCTGAGGTTCGGTACGAAAACGGATCCCTAGGGGTGGCTGCAGCGCTGCTCCGAGGAATCCCACGTCTTTCCACGTCCAATTGCTCCTCTCCGCTGCGGAAGCGCTGCGGGTCACGGCCGGATGAGCTAAAAGAGAACATGAATTGCAATGGCTTGCTTGTGTCAAAACCTCTCAAACCGCCCAAAACCCTCCACTCCTTCACTGCTTCACCAACTGCTCTACAATTCTACACCGAAAACATTTGCTTACAATTGCTTACACACCTCCCTCGACTCAGGCCACGCGTCTGCGCCAAAACGGTCTATAGTTCCTCGTGTCGCTCCTCGCTCCTCCTCGCGTCCCTCGCATCGCGGCGCGCCCTCGCCGTTCCCCTCCGGTCTCCTCCATCCGTCGCTTCAGGTCTTCCGCACCTTTCTCGATCTGCGCCGATTGATGGCTGCGCCTGCGCTCGGCGGAACGCGTTTCACGCCCCGCGGGTGAAGGCGGCGCAGCGAGTCCGGCATTCATCGGGGTCAGAGGGGGCGATTGGGTGCTGGGTCAGAGTGCTGGTGTGAAAGAAATGGGGTGGAGAGGGATGAAAAAGAGTAGAGGGCCCAAGAAAATGATAGAGAGACGAGCAGCATATCAATCTTAAAGTGGTCAAACTATGTGCCAAATCGGCTTGGAATTGGCTGTAATTGTAGAAGTGTCTTTTTGACTCTTAAAAGCGGGGACTCTTTTCGATCCAATTCAAATATTACTCAACCCGTGGATTCTCATCAAATCCATGATATGAACGTCATGAGGAACCTATCAGGTACCCAAAATGTCCTTGTCTGGAGCTAGGAGCCACCCTGTCCAATTTTTGTTTGGCCACATGAAAGGAAAACCACGCGAACACTTGAACCCCCCCAAAACTCCCCCAAAAAACCACTGCGTTGTCCCATAATAGTGTGTCCATGTTGCGTTTGCGTCCACCTCATCGAACCCAACCGCGGGCGGGGCGCGCGGGTGGGCGGAACCGCCTCTGCAGTTGCTCCTGCAACTTCCGCTCCAAGTTCGCCTTATCGAGGGGCCACCCCGGTCACCGACGGTGACGCGTGGGCGCGGCGCGGTCCGTTTCGGTGTTTCGGCCACAGAAAAGCATGCCATGGCCAGTCAGGTACTCTGCTTTTTGGGTAGAAGGAGACGGTGTTCTCTTTCTTTTTTCTGGGGGGGGCGGGTGGATCTCTTGTTTTTCTGCGTGCGTGTGTCTTTCTTCCGGAGTTCCAAATCACGCTTCGACGAAGTCCTTTCAGGCCTTTCAAATGATCGACGAGACTTCCCTCACGCTTCGATGGGTCGGTACATGTCGGTACCATTCCCATACACTCCATGGGACTGCCATTTATGCCGCCCCATTGACCACCCTGGCACCACCCCATTGGCATGCGCGGCATATATGTGGAGCGTCTGGGATTGCTTTGGAGTGTAAGCTGTCCGCAACAACGCCGGCGTTCACCCGAACACAGCCGTCACGCCCAGCAGTTGTTGTTCGATCGAAGGGGGTGCCGGTGATGAGGTGACGAAGCGTTCGTTGGGTGTCCCATGAGCCACCAAAAGGGCCTCGGGGACGAGCTACAGCACCCAACTCCATTCCGACATGTGACTCCTGGTCCACATGCACTTCCATGTCAGCTAGTTGGGATTAGGATGTTCCTTCCCAGCTCGGCCGCTCAAAGAAGGAAGAACCGGATACCACGACGCATGACCTGACGAGACCACCATGCAGCTAGGTAGGACCACCAGCTATACTTAGTGAGATAGCCGGGTGTTTCAATTTCATTTGCTCCCATGAAACGATCATGGATCTGGAGTTCACCACCTGTTTGTATAGAGAAGAAACATAATCCTCTCCGGGCCATGCCATCACTTCCATGATTCGACCCACCGGCAGCGAACCATGCACCTCCATCCCATCGAAAAGACCTCTCCGTGCAACAGCACCTTAGTGATGGGCACGTGTCGTGTTCTTGCTGTTTCCTTGCGCAGCAATGGATCTATAATTTGGCAGAATCAATCGTGTCAACATGTTCAATTCATTGCGATGAGGATTTACAATCAGCCTTCCATGGCCAACAAGATCTCGCAAAAGAAGAAGTGATCCCACTACAACGTGGTATATACCCAATCACCTGGCAGCCACCAATCAGCCAATCTGTTGAGCAGTCGGGGAGGTCAAGTCTTCTTCGCAGTCGAAAAGACTGAGGCATCCTAGCCGCTGGGTTTTCCTTCGAACGTTGCTTCTCTTGCGACCACTGAGTCTGAGTGGTCCGACCATGCGGTAAAGACATTAGGAAACCTGGTAAAGACATAATCCCTATACTATACAAGTCAACGCCCTCTTTTTACTGGAGTTGGTAATGCAAAATTACTACGTTATACTTGTAAGAAGGTAAAAAGAACATGGCTTTACTGGGTCTTTGGACTTGTAAGATAAAGATGCGTTACTAGATGTGTTTTATCATGTGTTATCATGTTTTAACTAACAAACGGGGAGCCTCTACTTCAAACAGAAACCGCGGAAGGGTACACCAACATCTTTTGCACTTGAAGCGCCTTGTGCAGAAGCTCGCTGGTCATCGACCATTGCTAGCAATCCTGATGGGTCTGTAGTACACCCAAGTACAAATGATATAATTGTGTCTTTTGAGCGTCTAGCAATCCGCGTTTCGTTGCCGCTGTCTTGCTGAAGCCTAAGTGTCCTGCTGGTGCCTTTCCTGGCCGAAGCAAGCACGAACGAAGACCTCCAAGCTCGGACCCGGACAGACATGTCTGTCAACGACCACCCCAGAGTCGACTTGAAAAGAGGACTGGCATCTACTACTGATCAGTTGGGGTGGTTGATAAAAATCAGGGGGTCGATCCATGGCATAGTTCCATACATTGGGGTGGTTGAAAGTTGAAAGGTTCTCGTCAGTTGGTGTCAGTGTCGAAATGTTCGATCAATGCTAGTGCCACTGCGAGTGCCACTACTGGACACATTCTCCAAGCTGTTCTCCAAATATATGCTCCTTCAGCCGTTGGGCCAAATGATTTGCAACTACCAAAACATGACACCTGCAGTTCACCCCAAAAGAATCTCTTCGTCGATATCATTCTGAATCTCAAAGAAGAGCCTCCTCTGTCGCATGGCCAAGGTCACAGCTGCTGCAGCTGCCAAAGACAGCGACCTGGGCGAAGATCTTGTACAGGATGCCCTCCCCGCGAACCAACACAGACAACAGGTGGCAACATATTTAACATACCCTACACCTCCCGTTGTACCTCCTCCTCAGGTATGACTGGACCCTCCTGGCCACCCACCCCAGTCCCACCTTCGAAACAAAGGTACGACTGGAGGCCTAGGGATATTTCACCAATCGGATTTGACATGAAAAAACACATCAGCTGATAGCAAAACCATGACAATGAACCGCTCATGAATTCCGGCACCAACATCTGCCGACCCCCACACTGCCAAACACACGTTAACCACGCCACATGTTCACTTCGTGGCTCTTGAAGACCTTGCGAACAGTAACGGGCCGGGAACAGTAACACATCCTCCAGGACCTCCCTCGTTCGGGATGTCTATGAATGGGCCCCTCTTAAAGAGGGGCCACAAGTTTGGCTTCTGAAGTCCAGCACCCAACTCGGGTCGGAAGTCAATCCACCCAGAACACCCCTTGGATGGTCCAGGTATAAGGGCATTATACAGGTGGTTTCAGCGATTCAATGGCATCCACCCGAAACCCATGCAAACCCCCCCATGTTCCCGAGAACCATCAGATCTAGGAACTCCCACGCGCACGACTTGGACGCCACCGGGCTCCATGGGACCCTCCCAACGATGGGCACCGCCTCCCAGGCCACAAGGCCGTCGTCGAACATCGGCGCTGCAGAGGCGAGGTGAAGGGTGGAGAGCTTCCAGCAGAAATGGCGTGTACCCAGACGCGAAGTCTGGACCCGTAGCGTTCAGGGACCGGGGCCGTACCCGAATCCTTTGGAGGGGCCCGGACCCGAACCAATCCCTATGGCTTTGAGGGACCGGTTGGGCTGTGAACGGAGCGTCTGGGTAGATCAGTAAGGACAAGGGGTGGAGGCACCAGGCCATTGAAACACGTGCGACTCCACTGCTTTGAGCCCTGGTTCTGCCCTCTCTTACGTTGGAGGCGCAGCTTGGAGACCATCGCGTTCGACGCTGCGTCCGGTCCGACCGACCCAGGCGGTCCGACCGACGCCAGAAGGGAAATAGAAGAACAGCAATTGGGCCAGGGGGTCTGCCCACTAAATGAAGTATAGTGGATTGAGAGTAGATGGCACAGACCCCAAGAAATGGTTTATATTGAACCCCCATGTAAAGGACATCTTGAGGTCTGTGCCATCTACTCTGAAACCACTGTAATGAAATCTGACATCATCTGATGAATCTGACACTGTAGATCAGGGATGAATCTGTGTCATCAACCCTTTGAATCTCAGGGCTGCGTCTTCCCTTTGTCATGGATGCGATGGATGTTGTAAAAACAAATCATTGGAAGGTCTCGGTTCATTCTCGTTTCCATCTCGATTCCTGATGGCATCGTTACGATGCGTTACGTAGGGTGAAAGCTGAAGGCGAATCTCCCCACATTCAACTCTCCCTAGAACCAACATGGAAGTGGAGTTTTCCACGCTGTTTGTAAGGGGCCATGGGCCATTCTCCACTTTTCGGAAGGGGAGTGTACGTCGCAGTCGGAAGGCGGATTCCAAACCAAACAAAGGATCAGGGGCACCATAGGAGTGTGCACCTTGCTCTGGAGCTGAGAAGTTGAGCACTTGGCGCGTAACGAAGTTTCTTCGCAAATGAGCAGAAAAAGGCTAGCAGGCTAGCAGGACGGCGAAGCAATCATCTGTTCATCTCGCACTCCAAAGACTATAACACCCTTGACCATATACGAAGTAAGTAGCAGTCTATCACCCTAATAATTGTACCCAAATTCATCTGAAATTAGATCCCCCAAAAAGGACGTATAGGTTGCATGCCATCGCTATAGTATAGGTTGGAGGCCATCGTGACTTCCCGGAGTCAACGCAGGTCCCCGCGCCTCGCTGGACAAGCTTTGCGGGACGCCTCGCGGGACGTTCACGCCGCCTGGCAGTCTGATCCACCCGACAGGTCCACAGTCTGACCTGGCAGTCCCACCAGCACGTCACTATTCAAACTTCGACAACACAACTCCAACATCTATCATTTGCCAAATTTGCCAACTTGGGGGGCCGGCAAACAGAATGAAACTCACTATGCCAGGCATCCGCCTTTTTTTTGGCAGCTTCTGACGGTCTGTTTTCTTCGGTGCCACTCCAGCCGAACCAAACAGACACGAAACACCGGAGCATTGAGCGGCATTGCGACGAGTCCGGAGCGATCGGACGCGAACCGAACGCGAAACTGGCATCTCCTGGCCTTACTACTATATAACTAAGAAGCTACAAGTACCATATACCTATTGGTTGTACATGCACTTAACAGTACCATATACCAGGACTTTAACAAGAAGCTACTAGGAGCACTGGTGCCTGGCACCACAAAGGCGGCGGCGGACGCCACCCCACCTGGGCGCGGTCGTGCGGTCGCGCGGGCGGAGCATGGAGCGAACAGCCGAGTGTGGAGCAACTGGTGGAACGAACCGACCGGTACGAGCGACCGGTGTGTCTTGGATTCAACTCACCACCCCACACGCCGTGTATGCGGCAGTCCGGCAGGTCCCATTACTGACAGCTCGTGTGAGTGGGTATGAGTGGGATCAAATCATCCCAAGTACAGGTTGAAACCATGTTGAACGCTTAAGCGATCTGAAGTTTCACCCACCCAGGTGCATCGATGTGTATCTCGTTTCATGTGGGACACATGAACCGCCATCATGACCCGCATGTGTCGTCTTGGTCGGGTCATGACCCGCTCTTCCCCGGCTGGTCTGGTCCACAGGGATGGGATAAACACACGCTGGGTGTTGTTTGAACCACAGGAGGGACCGTGATGTTGTTTGGAACATATTCAACTCCTTGGGAGTCAAAGACTATAAAAAGAATGGTCTTTAGTAGGTGACCCGAAAAGGAATAGTCTTTGGACACCCTGGGAGTCCACTCATTTCGAGGCTTTTCTTACCACCTTCTTACCACCTTCCGAACCAATTGTCGGGGTTTTGTGGGCTAGAGGACCCGACCGTACTTGTGGATCTCCATTTTTCGCACCTTGAAATGAAGGTTCATCCCAGAACACCACAGGGCTACACCTGAGCTTGAGATACTGGACCGGGTCGGGTTTTGGAAGGGGGTCGTCCTCCATCATGCGATCCTTTCCGGCGCTATCCGGCGCGCTGCTCATGACATGTCTAGCTCATGGGATCTGGGAAACGGGTGAACCTGGAAGGCTTCACCAACACGCCAAGCCAAGCCAACTGGGCCAACTGCCACCCCGCCCCACGGCGCCACTTCTGTGGCCCCGCGACACTTCTGTGGCTCCCCACAAGAGAACAGAGCCGCCGAGCACGTCCCAGACCTCGTCCGCCTGGTCGTTTGGGGCGGAGCATGGTGACGGCCGGGACCCAGGACACCGTCACATGACCTGCTCAAGCATGGGATATATGGCTGTGGATCATGGCAGGAGACACACCCTGTCCGGTTTCGGTCGCTCCGTAGACGGGAGACTAGCGCACAGATGTAAGAAGAATCCATCAACATCCCCGGCGAAAAGCAGCGCTTTTGAGGAGAGTTGGTGTGCTTTTGAGGAGACCTACTCACCCAAACCTCAACTAAGCCCACCAGGTTTGGTCAAACGTGTCCCCCCTTGGTCAACGTCTGGCTCAAACGCTCAAGTACCTGCTAATTACCCTATGAGCGTTTGGCTCCCAGGTGAGTTGACTGAGGCCGCTGAGATTAGTGGCGATGCTTAAATTGTCAAACAGAAAAGTAGAAGGACCCCCTCTCGCATTGGTCCTGGATGAGCTTGTTAAAGCACAGTCGCACTTTGCACTGGCCACGTTTGAAGCCTTGAATCTTAAAAACCAGCGATTTGGTACATGGCTCGTCGACTTTGCAACGCCAACACTGCAAGCTCGTTGATGAGAAAGACAACTGTTCAACTGCCCATCCTCAACTCATTTGGACAGCAACTGTTCCTGCAATCGATGTATCTCTTCCATGTTTTTGCAGGCTTCCTCAATCCGACCGCCATTCTTGCAGGCAAAGAGAAGGGATATCAAGATGCCAGCACCGCAAAGTGAGGGGAACACGGTGTAGACGAGGCTCAGCCACTCTGGATGGAGGTGCTTCAAGTCGATGAGCTTCATTTGGTCGTAGCCCAGCCAAATCAGCAAAATGATGAAGACAACATATGGCGCGATCTTGTCCGGGGTCCCTTCTACCACACTGTGGAACACCAATGCTCCTCCCATGATGACAATCATACCCTCAATGGCACATAGTAGCAATGCCTGGCCAAGAACAAAGAGTTGAGAATAAAAACTGCTCTGATTGTTTTAGTACAGCATGTCAGTGCCCAGGACCTTCAAAGTGACCTTTTGAGATCCTAGAATGAGGTGACTTAGTCCCTAAAGAGGTCACTTAGAGACTTCAAAGAGGTCACTTTGAAGGTCCTGGCTATTGAGCCCTTTTCCAGCAGTTTTGCATTGTTCTTTCAAATCTCTTTCTTATATGTGTTCTCTGAAGTCAAACAACATAGGTCACTCACATACACAAAACGATCAAGACTCTACGTCCGAACCTTTGGGCAACAGCCTTTCTGAATGAAAAAAGAACACGAAACTTCACATCATCTGTTCATCCCGCCTGCGACCATTCCAACCCTGGCAGACTCATATACTCACTCCAAACGACCAGCAACATGCAAAGACCTGCGCACAATTCCGCCCCGCCAATCACCAGCCGCAGCACGCTCGCGGGCATGCCGAAGACCGGGCCAATGGCTTTTTCATAGGTCGTCTTCAAGACATTGTACATCGGATGGCCTGGTATCAACTTCCCCAGACCTGCCACACACACAAAGAGCAGTCCCAGCACACTTCCCACACCCAGCGACACCCCACTCCACGCCATGGCAACTCGACTTGCCGGATGCGCGGTCGGGGTCGAGGCGGACGACCTGACTCACTCGGGGGTTGGATGTCCAGCTCGGTGACGTGGATTCCATGGAGAATAGACGAATATCTCCGATTTGTGCAACTGAATGCTCGAAATTGGCCTGGTCGTTCGTTTTCTAGGCAAACCACAATGTACTATTTGCGTCGTCAAGAGGCATATCTTATCCTCTTTGATGCATATATTCCCCCTAGGATTCCGACCCAAACATCTATACTTGTCCTCCAGAAACGTCGAGACAAGACCTCGCATCAGCTGTGAACCCCCCCTTTGCTAGAGGCATTTGGCCGTCCACCCCCCGGCACCCCTTGACCGCGCCGACCCGTTTCCCGCGGACGCGGCGAAGCTCGGACGCGCCTCGCCGACTGGACCATGGTGGAGCCGAGGTTCCCCCAGGCGTCGCTCGGCCGAGGCCCGGGATCGACTTGAGCGTGCCGGGCACTGAGCTGGGCACTGGGAGGCACAACGCTACGGGCATATACATGGCGTAACGCAAGAACTGACAGAGCGTACCCAAGCGAACTCATGGAACACTGAGTGATTTTGAGGTGATCCTTCTTCACGTCTTTTTCCAAGAAAAGTGTTAAGTGTGTGAGTTGCAAGCCTTGGACAAGTCACGCAATATGTGGCACTGTTCCATCCAGACTGACTTCTTGTCGCACATGGTACACCATATTTCTACCCTTCATGTTGAATTCAGGGATGATGGGACCAAGAATCCTGATACAGTTTTTTTCAAAAACAAAACCATTGATTGGGTATATTTGGCTTCTTGTAGGGCAAAAGCCAAAGATTCACCGGGTCGCGAAACGGGGCTTTTCACGACTCGCAGCTCTTGTTCTCTTTTCAGAGCGCTCTTGGACGAGCACTGACGCCAGGTGCGCCATCAATGAATTTGTGCAATGCTAGACCACTCTTGAAAACGGACACAAGTTGATTGCATTGTATCTTGCTGACTCCCGCGCTCGAGATCCTGAAGCACCTGATCTGCGAGGGTGGGGAGCGTTCCCACTTCTAGATGATGATACGGTTTATACATGACAAAACAGCCTGTGCTCGTGGTATTTGTTGGGGATTCGTGTTTTTGCCGCGGGAGCGTTTGGTGTAGAAGCACCAATTGAAGTCCAAGAGAAGTAAAGACCTTGGCGAGAAGAAGCAGAATGGCATTTGCCGCATGTGTCGTGGGCCTTCGATCATGGTTCTTCTGGATCGAATCCGATAGATCAGGTCCCGGCCATGTTCAGCCTTACCGGACAGTCCCAGAAATACATGTCTTTGAGGAACGTCATCTATGGGCACTGAACTGACAATCTCAAGCACATGTTGAAGGTATAAGTATATAATAAACAGTGCGAAGCTAGCACATAAGATAGAATTTGTGACCAACATTGATAGAATGAGATCAAATTAGGTTCCTCAAAATGCGTCTAGGACGATCTGTGAGATGGCCAACCTGGTCAGATTGGCCCGTAAACAGCACAGTGGAAGCACTCTCACTGTGGGCGGGCCTTGGAAACCCAAGCTGTTTGGGAAGGCTTCAAATCAAGGAATCTGTTGGGTACGCCTTCTTCCGGTCAAAGCACGTGTCGCATACCAGGCTTCAGGAGCAGATTTCACACCTCTCATAAACATGGTGCTCGGTGAAATCAAAAAACCTCTGCGGCGACCCATGCGGGAAGCTATCACCGCGCTAGGTCCTTGGCCGCTTGGAACGGCCCTGAGATGCCTGAAAAGGCCGGTGCACGCCTCGGTCGGGCCAATCGCAACGAGTTGCAACGGATCCATGGTTGGCGACCGGCCGAAGATATAGAACATCAGACGTCCAACTAAATCCACCTGGGACAACCCTCCAAAGAATAAAGAAAACTTTATAGAACACGGCAGGTGCCAAAACATCGCTGAAGCCTCATGTTCCTCAAGAAACTTCTTCCCACCCTCTGCTTTCCCGGTAGCAGCCATGCTTTCTTTGTGGCACCAAGTCAAACGCATCAGACCCCCCAAACTGGTTTTCACAAAAAAAACACTTCCCGACTCACCCGACTCGTTGTGAACCACCCGACTCGCCGCGGCGAGATCCATCGCCCGTCTCGCCCGCCCACCTCACCATCTGCGGCGGAGCCTGATGGACCGAGTGGGTGGCCAGGGGAGGTGGTGTGTCGGATCCATCCGACCACACTCACCGTATTAGAAGATTGGGCGGATCAGTTGGGGAATGAAACCCTAGGGATCCAGTCGTACCTTCGTTTCGAAGGTGGGACTGGGGTGGGTGCCAGGAGGGTCCAGGTGCCTTCTGAGAAGGTAGGGACGATCCCTAGGGAAAAGAGATCAATGGGATGACCAGTCCCATGAGTCTCTAAAAGAAGGCCTTCGAACGCAAGGAAGGAAGGCCTTCGAACGGGGAGGTGGGAGGGTCGCGAGGTGAGTGGCCCACGACGGATCACAGGAGAGACCATTGGATCCATTGGCCTTTGGATGGGCCCAAAAACTATCCCTGATAGGACCTGCTCGGGGTACACTCCCTGAATTGATGGCTACGTGGCATGCTGCCGATGTCGGATTGGAATCGGAGAACACGCGATCTTTTTCCACTCATTGGAAGGTACTCACTTGGATGGTGCCATCCACTTCCATGATTATTTCAGGGAGTGTAGTAATGTAGTACATGTAGACTCTTGATGGATCAAAACAACAGGCCCCACAGACTACATGAATGTTAAAACCTCTTCAGGCTTCGGGAGTGAAATATCAAGAGCCGAGGGGGCCGCCGCATTTCTATCCTCTCAAACTGATGTGCAGCTGTCAGCTTAAACATCTGATTCCGAATTTAGAGTTAATGAACCTCTGAGAACTCTCAGCATCTTCATGTTTCTTCCTAGGACGAGGAGCCAAGCGGTCACCGCCCTACCGCCCTACTGTCCGCCCACTTCATCCCCGCCCACCCGCCTGCGTGACGTGCGTCTGCGTCACATGCGTGGCATGTGTGAGAATTGTTTGAGGCTTCACCTGGCGGAAGGCGGGGCGCCGGACTTCCGCGCGGGCAGTTCTTTTCGAGGGCATCTCCAGAAAGTCTGAGGGTGGAAGGCTCGCGCACGTTCCAAGGGTGATCGGTTTGATGGTTGGAAGACCTGACGCCCCGGATGCTTCAAACGGTTTGGTGATTCCAAGCAGGAATAGTATATGGATTAGTGGCACCCCTGTTCGTTGAAGTTCCTTGTCCTTAGAGGTTAAGGGTGCCCATGAACCACCCCGACAGTGTGTCCTGGTATGCAAGACACACATCTGGTGCCTGTCTTTAACACTGCTAGAGTGCGAGCTGCCATACAAATGGACTCATCTCATGAGAAACGAGCACCCATTGATATCCATTGATCTATCTTCAGTATTCCACCATGTGTTTTTTTCAGGCGACCGTCGACCTCTTCCCCATTTAAAGGCTTCGACCTCTATACCTCAGAATGCTCAGGTCTTTCATGGTCTTTTCTGAGCACCCAGGCCGCTTGGAAAGGCCCCGAGATCCCCGAAAAGGTGGGCGCAGCTGGTGCACGCCTCAGTGAGATGACCCTCACAGGCCTAGGCCTGGAACACATGGACATGTGTGAATCAACATACTGAAGTAATAGGTCGTTGATCATGATAAGGGGGTAGCATTGGAAAGTGCTTCAACCTGACGCGGGTTGAGAAGCACGGATGTTGGCATGGTCAATTAGACCCTGCCCATGGCAGCAAGGCGACAACATCCAAAACAGGGGGGCCAGTTACCTGGCCGGTGGTCTGGCAGTCTGGTAATCATGATAATATTCAACAAATAGTAGGCAAGCTAAAGATCGGTTCAAAATAATCAAAGGAAACAAAGAGACATCTCATGTTCTGCCCCCCAATACAGGCCAAGAGAGGTTGAGAGACCTGAACTGGGACCTCTAGTGGTGCACATATGGGATAATCAGCAGAAACAAAAACAAGGGCCGTTCAAGCTTTCGAAATATGGAGGACATGTCCAAGACATGAAAATAGAAACATGGAAATCTTCCAAATCCAAGCTGGACATGTCCAGCACATGTCCTTTCTATATGGAAAATAGAAATCTTCCCATGTCCATGTTCAGCTTCGGCAGAAACACCCCCTACACATCTTCCCAGACTTGCGATCGAAGCGATGTGCGATCGAAGGTGAGGATCGTTGATGCTCTCCAGATCACCATTCATACGACCAACATTGATATAGACCGTATACATACCGTATATACCTGGACTTCTAGAGCTATTGAGTGACCTCTATTTTGGACCACCAACCACCCAACCACCCCCAAATCTAGGCCTTTTCTTATCAAAACGGTCATGTCTGAGCTGTCTGAGGTCTCTAACATCTCGAACTCCAAGTATCTACACCTCCATTTCGACCTTTGGCTTGAGTGACTGGATCTCAAAATTGCCTCATCGACCTTTGGCTTCCCAGGGGAGCGAACCAATCCCTTATGGCTGGGCAGTGTCACTGGCCACACTGGCCACACGCCATGAGCTGCGGAGAAGTCGCCTCGCAGTTCGGAACGCTGGAGAGAGTGAGTTCGCCGTTGATTTGCTGGTTCGGAATCCTTGGAAGAGTTACAAGAATTTAATGGTTGTTCAATTCCTAAGAATCCAGGCCCTCAAACAGATATAGGGCTTTGAGGGCCCAGACCCCTGCTATGGAGGGTCCGACCCCTGCCATGGAGAGCCCAGGGAGATGTGTGTTTGTCCGGACTCTTCTTTGGCCCAATGATTTCAGAGGAGTGGTAGAAGGCACAGTAGGACTGGCCACACTGAAAAGCTGGTGCAGAAGCCGACTGCCCCTGTCCCGGTGCCTGAGTGAGGTGCGTGGCCTGTGTCACATGCGTGGCGTGTGTGAGAATCGTTTGAGGCTTCACCTGGCAGATGGCCGCAGCTCCCGTGGCGAACAGATTTCACGGTGAAACAAGTTCTGAACTTGGAGAACTCAGAAGTGGAAAAAGTGCCCAGAGCCCGACTGACCTTCATGTTGGACAACATGACTACCCAAAAAATCCCGGCCTTTTTCTATCAAAACAGACTTCAACTGGGTTCTACAGGGGCATATATTACGCAACTTGTACAGGTTGTTGACGACCTTTTTTCCGTTAAAGGTTCACCCCGTCCCCCAAACAAACCGGACGGAGGCCAGGCAGTCAATGCCCCCCATCCGTATGCCAAGGAAACTGATGTTTCTCCTCACGATGTCCTCGCATGCCAAGTCTTTTGCATTGTGCTTTCAGGTGCGGAGTTCCCTCAGCAAGAAACAGACTTCTGCAGGAATGTCAAAGTTAGGAGGTCGCATATGATATCAGGTGCATATGAGGAGGCCCCTCCAGATGACGTCCTCCAGACTCAACATCAGGTCCGGAAGCTTTTGCTTGGGAGAGCAGTCATCCGGTCGCCGAAACTCTTCGACCATGGAAACATAAAAAGAGGGGTTGACCTGG